AAGACCCTACATCTTCTGATGAGAAGAATCAGTCTGGTTTCCTTCAGAGAGAAGGTTAAGCTTTTAACTCTTGGAATCGTGCCTGCCCTCAGTTAATCCCACAAATTTTATTGGTTAGGATGTGAGTCCTTCCTTTCCAACATTCCAAGAGCGACAAAGAAAGAAATATAGGACACCAGGAAGCTGGTAAGACCCCTAGCCACATGGCCTGCAGAGGGCAGAGCCAGAGCTGGGCCCCAGGGTGTCCCATCCCTTTGCATTTACCCAGAGACAAGAATAGGGCACTTCAAGTTTAATTAAGAACAGGATGTCCCTGCTGGGCCTCTCATTGATGTTGCTAAAAATATAGTAGGGAAGTAGCCTGGCCTCTTCATGGTTTAATCCCATTAAATTTGGGGGGTGGGTGGGAATTGGAGCTAATAAAAGACATGATTTGTTTCAGATTGCTGTCTGGAGTTGTGTCTTTTTTCTCCCTGGGTTGTGGAGTCCTAGATTTTGAAGTTCTAATGCAATCAGCTTTAGGTTGTTGATGCCGTGGGAAGGGAGCAAAGGGACAGACAATTCCCTAAATGTGGTTTTGCAGGCTGTCATCCATTTACTCTTGGGACCCCTGGGATGCATCACCTCAGCTCTTTGCTCACTGCTTTAGTACCACCCACGTCAGAGACCTGGTTTTGTGTAATCCCCATCTGTGCTTTGATGCACATTAAAAAAATAATAATAAATCTAGTCTGAGTGCTACGAGAGCCATCTGGAAATGTGAGCCTCTTAAAGGAGTCCTCATATTCTCCTTGGTCCCACAGGGGACTCAGACCTTGTGCCTCTTGCCTCATTCCAGAAGCCCCTTTTACAAATACATTCATGTAAGGGCATCCTGACATTTTTTGTTTTGTTTTGTTTTTGTCTTTTTTGTATTATCCTTTTCCTATTTCTCAGCCCCAACCCCACTCCTTTCACCTAATAGATAAAGACTAACATTCTTAAGGACTTTCTGTTGAGTGTCAGAGCTTTTTTTTTCTAATACAAATTCATTTGTTCGCTTGGTCTTTCATGCATTTGTTCAACAAGAGTATTAGGGAATAATCCCTACATTATTACACAGTTGACTTCCCATCACAATCCCATAATGACAATTTTATGAGCCTCTACTCTTAGAGGCTGAGAGTTACAAGGAATGCTCCAGACCACTGGGTTTTACTTGCCACCATGGGACCTAGACATAGTGTAGGCAAAGACTTTCATAATAACTATTAAGGCATTACTAGAGTCACCATATCCATCTAAATGGTGCTTATAAAAAATGAGGTGCTTTTGGTTTTCAATGTGCTATCTCCCAAGCCCTTTGCCAGAGGATTGGTGAGATATAAAATAAGAAACAGCATATCAGTCTTGTTGGTAAGTGAATCCCCTTCACCTAATACATAGCAGACACTCAATAAATAATTGTTAAATAAATTATGAATAATAATAATTTTTAATTCTCTGAACACCATTGTCTGCAAATAAGGGAATAGAAATGGACTTGGGAAGTAGGTGTATATAAGAACATCAAATTTATTATCAGTTCCATCTTTTTTGTGGCTCATTGGAGAAATACAAATACCTTAACATGGCCTGTGAAGCCCCAGTGTCATGTCCTGACCTGCTCTAGAGCCATATCTTACGCCGCACTCACCTGCATGCTCTCTTGGCCTTCTTACCACCTCTTCCGCCTTGGGTGTCCTTTACCTCTTCATTTCTTTACTCAGTAATCACTCTTCAGGGCAGCCTATGCTAATGCTCCTGAGATGGCCTAATTTCCCCATTACATTATCTCAGAAGAGCAGGAATCTTCCTTTGTAACACTGTTCTCAACAAAGGCTTTTTTCATTATTTTAATAATGCTGGTGTGCCTTATTTAACAGTAAACCCCCTGAGGGCAAGGACTGAGTAGATCATAAAGCCTGGTATATAATAGTTGATCAATAAATATTTGGTGCATGACAGAATGAATGGATGAATGAGTGAGGATGGCGGAAGGAGTAAATGGAGAGCAGGGATTTTATTAACCTGGGTCCATGGATGGACTCCCAAATCCACGAGCCCCTGAAGTTGTCTGCAATAGGGAATATGTCCCCATGAGCACATTTACATACTTTCTAAGGTAAGAGCCCATCGCTTTTGATAAACTAAGAATCTTTAAGGGGTTTCACATGAATATATTTAGTTATATGAAGACAGGGAGAAGAAAAAAAGAAGGTGGGGAATGAGAAAAAAATATTAAAGGAGAAAGGGGGAACTTTATACTGAGACACAAGATAGAAGAAAATTGAGAGAGGAAGAAGAGCATGGAGAAGGCAACAGGGTGGGAACAGTTATTCCTGAATGAATCCTCTAAACTTAGTGAGCCCAAGTCTATGCAAGGCCCATGTTAAGAACTACCAGGGGTTCAATGAGTAGCCAGACCTGATTGCCGCCCTCACATCTAAACAGTGTGTCCTGGGTGACTACAATTCAGGGTGAGTAGAATGAAACCATCCAGGAGAGGTTTAGAGGGAGCCACTTGCTAGCGCAGAGGAAGGGAGATTGCACATAGCAGTAAAAAGAAGGAAGACTATGGAAGGCTTCTTGGAGGAGTGTAGCATTTCAATCTGCCCTTAACTCATGAATAAGACTTCAAGGAGAGGGGAGATGGGTAGGTGAGCACTCAGATGAGAGAAGAGTGTAAACAAAGCTGCTGGTCCAGGAAACCAAGGTGTGTGTTGGACAGGTTGCCAGGCTCTTGACAGCCTTTGCAAATTATCTGAGTTGGGAGATGCCCCCGTTGGCCAGTTAGACACAAAGCAGAGGGCACTTGGAATTACTAAGTGAGATGACCTTCCTGAGGCCAAAAGAGACTCAAGGTAGGAACAATCAAGCCCCAAAGAAGGTTGAGGATGTGAAATTACACAGCATCCTTAAGACTTCTGGCAAAAAGTAAACTTATGGTTTGCTCATCAATGTTCCTCCCGTATCACTTCTACAGCTCCTGAAACGTGTCAGGTCTTGGTCCTTTAAAGCAGCCATGCTTATACGATCTAGTGCGATACTGATTTCTATATATTGTTTTTGTTGTTGTTTTAAGATTCCTGGGCTTGTGAATTCACAAAATATTTAGATTGTGTAAGTAGGAAATCCCTGTGAGTTGCGTGTGTGCGCGCACTTGTGTGTGTGTGTGCGCATGCGTGTGTGTGCGAGTGTGTGCGTGTGTTAGTTGGTGCCACTGATTCCCATTTAATTGGGTCAAGAGTTACAGAAAACCTTCCATGTGGGAGAAATGCCCAGGAGAGGGTGCTAGACCTCAAGACATAGCTGGTATAGAAAGACTCCTGCTTTCTACGCCTGTTACTAAATAGTCACCTGCCCTATGAAATCTCAGCATCTCTTTTTCCCATTTGTAAAAATAGCTCTAGCTCTATGGCCTTTACTTGTTCCCCCCAGAGAGTCAGGTGTCCCCAGCAGTTTGGCATGTGGTGCTCTAACCCCAGCACAGACGGCGGTGCAGACCTGGACTGGAGGGGACAGCAAGTAGAGGTCCAGGAGGAAAACAGAATATGGCTCAACTCTTGCCTCCAGAGCACACTTCAGTGAATGTTTCTTGGGAAAGTTGACTGTGGCCAAGTTTAGCCCAATGACCCCCGTAATACCAGACAGCTGTGACAGGCCACAGCTGTGAGCTTGACCTTCCTCCCAGATGGAATCGCTGTGGAGGCTTCTCTGGAGTTCAGTGAAGGCTTTGGGTGGGTTCAAGACAGACTCAGGGAGTCTGGCCTGAGGGGTCCCTATGGGGTGGGATTAGCCCAAGGAGCAGCACACTGGGTGAGTCCATTTTTCATTCTTATTTTATTACTGAGATTAGAATATTCACCCGCCCTCCCCCCTTTCTCCAGAACATTTTAGGGACCTGTGGCAGGTTGATCCTAAATGAGACTGTAAAGTACTTAAGTCCAGCTTTTAGTATTAATTTTTCTCCCACATTGGGAAGCTGTCTCCCTTCAGCTGTCTTCCTTTCTTTTCTCCCTCCAATGACTGCACTACATCTGGAGCTCCAGAACTTTCCAGATTTTTCGACCCATTCACTGGCAAAATCTACTTTTTTAAAAAATGTCTTCCCTGGGCTAAAGTTCCCAAAGTGAATTTGATTAGCAGAGTCATGGTCTGGGGACAAAAACAATGACTTCATTCTTCCCACATAACAACTACATTTGACAGCTGAGGCCCTTACTGAGTTCCATGGGGGGTCCACGTGTGGTGGGGGAGATGGTTTCAGTGCTGCTTACAAAACTTTCAGTAGGTCCTTCTTTGGCTCATCAGATGTCAGATGTACCCCATCCATCTCCAGCTTGAGATTGCATAATTATTTAATCCAGAACTCGGATGGCAGACTGTTTCCATCCAAGGACTGTTTCCTTGCCACACAAACGGGGAAAGAGCATTGGTTGGATTGGTAATGTCTGCCTGGGAGAAGACTAGAGCACACACTTGTAGACTGTCAGGTGTTTATCATTTTGAGGGACCTAGATGGAGGCCACAGCACACACCGACCTTTCCCTCTGGTCTGAAGAAGGTCGTCTACAGCCCTTTCTTAGAAGTGGGGGCCTCAGAACAGCAGCAGCAGCAGCACACAGGAGCTTGTTAGAAATGCAGAGTCTCAGGTCCCCCCCACCCACCCGCCCACCCAGCTCTACTCAATCAGATTCTGCATTTTCATAAGAATCCCATTCCTAGGAGATTCACATGCGCATGGGGGTGTGGTGGGTCTCCCTGCCAGTTATCACTCCTGAAGCTTCTCCGTGCTGGAGCAAGCTCTGTGGGCCTGGTTTCTCCCACCAGTGAGTGACTGTGCATCTGTTTTCCACATCAGCAGATCAGGATGGGGGACATTCCCTTCACCCCCATATTTGGGAAGTTTAATAATAAGGCTATTGTGTGCCAAACCAGACCGTGTCTCTGCCTTCTCACCATGTTGCTTCTGTCCCCAGGCGATCTATAAAATGGTTTCCTCCGTAATGAAAATGCCTGAAGATGAGTCAACTCCAGAGAAAAGGACGGAGAAGATCTTCCGCCAGATGGACACCAACAGAGATGGTAGGAGGCCACGCTGCTGTGCTTTGCTCAGAGTGGGGGCTGCTGGAGAGGCTGGGGATCCAAGCCAGGGACAAGATATTGGCCACAAGGACTTGGCTCAAAGCCCTTTGTAAAAGTGGTTCATCCTGTGTGCTCCCTGGCGGTGCAGGACAGAAGAGGACCAGGGTTGGGACAGGCCCAGGCCACAGCAGGCTGGACCCCCATAGTCCAGCTAGTCAGAAAGTGAGGCAGTGGTTTGGTGTCATTCCACCTGGACCCTAGTAGCTTTCACCCAGCCTGCCCAGGGGCTTAGAGGGCTCTCCTGCGCATGCTCTAAGGTGTTGGGTTTCCAGGAGCCAGCCGTTGTGGAGGTGGGGGTGGGCGGGGAGTGAGGTGGCCAGCAGATTCTACCCTGAGGGTGCCACCCACAATTCAAACCCAACAAGGGGATGCAAAGCAAACCAAAGTGAAAAGGAGGGTTGGATTTCAAACTCAGGAAAAGGAGGTTTTAGAAGTTGGGCTGCAGGATAGAATACAGGAGGGTCAATCAACTTTTTGGATAAACAACAAGTGATTTTTTTCATATAAGTATGCCCTATACAATATTTGGGGCATAATTATATGGAAAAAATTGTTTATTGTTTATTTGAAATTCAAAGTTAACTGAGTTATTTGCCAAATCTGGCAACCCTATCTAGATATAACAGCCGAGTTGAAAGTGCTGAGCCCAGAACTGAGGCCGTCATAAGCCCCGAGTCATCTGTAGCTCTTGCTGTGTTCTGCTGGCTGTCCCCAGCAATTCTTGTCAGTGACGAGCTGAGACAGACTGACAGAAGGCTGTGTAGTAGGGCGAACCTCTCTTTCTAACCCCACACCCCCTGGGGCACCTGCTACCTGAGAATCTGGGTTTGCAGGGTTCAGGCCAATCTGTTTGCTTCCTTTCCTCCACAAAGGTGCTATTACATCCTATTATTTTCCCTTAAGCACCTTGATTCACTGCAAATAGTTTGATTGTTTTTGCCAAGACTAAATAAACACAGGATTATTTGAGTAGTTAGTGGACTTGCTGATGTTAAGCTGCACGTTTTGCTCGTGCTCCAGGGAACCCAGGGGTTTAGGTCCTGCCCGAGGCCCAGCCACCTCTTTAGAATAGGGCTAAAGGATGGGAGAAGATCCACACACTGCAGGATAAAGCCCTCACTGCATGTTGATGGTAGGTGAGACGTTAGGGTCTCGGCACTGGACCTCACAGTGGGGTCACAGTGCCCCGGGAGACTTGGTGCACACACAGCTCAATGTTTTGCTTCTGGGCCCCGGCCTGGAGCAGAGGCCTCACCTAGAGTCTCCTGTCATTAGATCGCTCTTGGAAGAAGCTCTTTGCATCTAACCCCTGGCCGCTGATGAGATGAGAAAAGTCTGGGCCTGCACCAACTCTGAAGCTCATGGGTAGTTAACTGGAGAGAGGCTGATGTAGCCGTTGAATGCAGAGTTTGCCCTGCCACTTCCAACTTGGCGTCTCAGAGCTGCCCCTTGGGAGATGCCGAAGTGGTCAAGCGACCGCTCCCGTCTTCTTTCCCTCATGCCAGCCTTCAAACCTGAGGAGGTTGTCACCGTTTTAGCCACTGCTCATAAAAAATGACCAGGGCACAAAGCTTAGAGGAAGCCTGCTCTACATATTGAAAACAAATAGATAAATAAATTCCGCCTTGCTCTTTCATTGTAGATAAGGTAGATTTGGTTAACCAAGAACTAGGTGCTGGGGGAGGGGGCCGTGGCTAAGGGGAAGACATATTTGTTGGAGTCTGGAAGGTAGAAGGTAAGGGCTCCAATAGATAGTACCCCTCCTGCCTGAAATTGGAATAAGCTGAGAAATAAAGAGCAATAGTTGAAGCCAGAGGACGGAGCTTCCTTGAAGGGCACGGCTCAGTGGGACAGCCTGCGGGAGTGGGGCCCAAACCCACAGCAGCAGAGAGGAGGGCGGGCACAGGCACTGCACTGATTTGGAGGAATGGGGACAGAGAGGAGCAAGTCCTCTCATAGGCAGCTCCTGTCAATAGAAAGAACAGAGCAGAGCTGAGCAGCTGCTCCTCCCTAGGAGGGGTCCTTCTGGAAGCACCGGGAATGGGGGAGAAGCTTTGCCTCCTTCCCCCAGATAATTTGACTGGGGGACCTGGAAGGGAATTCAATACCTACTGCAGCTTACGCAGGCAGGAAAGGGACTCAGGGTAGGAGTGGGTACCCGGTCAGCCCAGTCTCCCTCCTCCAGCCTGTCAGGGTAGGAGGGAAGTGCCCTGATGAGGCAAGGGACTCACCGGGACACCTCTCTACCTCCTGCACATACTCCTTTATTCTCCTTACCTCATATGAAGGCGCAGCTGTTCTCACATGCTGTCCAGAAAGGGGCCCTCCCTCAGGTATCTGTGCAGGGGCTCCCAGTGACACCGTGGGAGCGGCCCTGGTGCTGGCAGAGCTCAGCTCGGTCTCGTAATGGCTCAGGGCATTTGTCCACAAATACTGAGTGAGTGCCTCCAGGGCATCTGAAGCTGGAAGAGCCACAAGGGCAAGGGTCACCTCAGGGCCACCCAGCACCACAGCAGGGTGGGCACACAGTGGGCTCTCAGGGAGCAGGAGCAGTGATAGGTGCTGGCTTTGAAATGAACAGGACCCTGCCCTGTGAGTCTCACCTCGGCATGATGTGGGACCGCAGGGACAAAGGGAACCATCGCTGCCACCAGAATGTCCTGAGAACAGTGTAAGTTCACGCCGGTGTCACCTGCTCCTGCTCACCCATCTTCTTGCTTTCTAGGAAAACTGTCCCTGGAAGAGTTCATCCGAGGGGCCAAGAGTGACCCGTCCATAGTGCGCCTCCTGCAGTGTGACCCCAGCAGCGCCGGCCAGTTCTGAGCCTGCACCCCAAGAATCGTAGAGCTGCTTGTGTTCCTTTTTGATTTTTCTTTTTAACAATTTTTTTTTTTTTTTTGCCAAACAATATTGACGGTGATGCTGTTCCCCGTGCGTTCAATGCACCTTCCTCCGTGATGCCCGCCCGCCTTCAGCTTCCTTTGTCGTGGATGCTTCATGGGGCTGCCCCGAGCCCCAGCGCACTTGTGGAGAGCATGGACAGTGCTGTCATGCACAGACTTTGTGGTGTTCGTTGTTCTGATGATTTTTAATCATTATTATTGTTTTCTCTTGATTCTAATGTCTCTATTCCAAAACTGAAGACTCGGGGAGGCAAGAGAAGGGAAATCAATCCAGTGCAATGATGCTATTGCAAGCTGCAAGGGGCTTGTTTGAAAAACAAAACCCCCCCCCCCCCTCCACACCACCCCCGGATCTGCTGTCACACATGCCCTAGGGATGATGTCACCAGATTCGGGATCCCCAAGGACAAGGAACCCTCAGGAGCCAGGCTATTAATGGGACCTGGGGAATTCCCCCTGCAGGCCCGCTCCCCCCCTCCCCCCAGCAGGCTGTAGTTTCTAAGCTGTGAACATTTTAAGGTAAATTAAAAGTGGAGAGGGAAAAGACGGCTCAGCTATTTTTTCACAGGTTTACACTAGTTGAGCTAAGATGAGTTTCTTTGGAAATTTAAACACAAATGGTAACTTATATTCCAAGACCAGACCCATCTTGTCGCCTCTTGTGATTTAAAAAAAAAAAAAAGAAGAAGAAGAATGCTGTACATAAAATATTGGGTATTGCAGACCAAATTAAGTGTTTTGCCTTGTTTAAATGAAACGCATGTTTAGTGAGCACTAATCCCATCTTATTACAGAAGACTGTTTCTAGTAGCTTATTGTGAAGTAAGCCAACTATAACGAATGTCTATGTCTTGTTTTAAAGTCATATCTGTCTTTGCACAAATGCACCCATCAACAGGTATATTTTATATATTCCAGAAAAGTACAAGGTAACCATGACTCGGGCCCAAATTTAATGTTGAATGTTTTTCCAGAGTAGCAGTGCCTGGAGAATAGAAGCAGGTTTAAATGAGACACGTCAATTCGAGCACCAGAAGGTTAATACTTATGAGATGATGGTTTGCCCACCCAGCCCAGCAGCGCATTGGTAATATTACATTGGAGGTGTGGTGCTTTTCTGAGCAGATCAATATTCTGGACACCCCCCCTCCCACCACCACACACACACAAACACACACACACACACACACACACACACACACACACACAGTCGCATCAAGTCTCAGGACTTCCCAATAGTTTGATCCACATGAATGGTTAGGGAGCCGTATCTGGGATGGTGACTTTCCATTCCCCAAGTAGCCCAACAGAGAGTCAGAGGTCGGGCAATCATCTGATTCACCATGAAGAAGGCATGGGCACGTGCATCTGTGACTTCCAAGGCCCACCATGGAAAATCCAAAAGTGTTCCCCCTCACTGTGTTCTTTGAATGCCAATTTCTATTTCTAGAAGTGACAACACAAATCTGAGTTGCTGTTCGGTCTGGTGACCTCATACACACTGATTTGAATTAAAAGCTAAGAGTTAAAATTGCTGGTCTTAAGGAAGTATTTTCATAAGCAGTAGGCACGAGGAAGCTCAAACATCCAAGGGTGTAGATGGGGAGAACCTGTCCCAAGGAAAGGCAGAGAGGTCCCCATTGGGTCTGCTGCTGCCGCACTACTTCCCGTAAGCTAAGAACCACAGCAAGGTAGACATTATAGCCACTAGGAAGAGGTTGCTGATTATAATCTCCAGATTCTTGCCCATCACTTGAGTCTCTCTTAACGTGTAGCAAAAATCCAAATTTGTGTGGTTGACCAAAATGAGCCAGCTTTACAGGGTGAAATTTTGAGAACTCAATATGATAAAATAATCTTACTCTTCCCCTGAGTGTCAGTTTCTCATAGTGGTTTTATACTGAGACTTGCCCAAGTTCCTCCTTGGTTCAAGTGGTAAAATCTGGGAATTAAGACATGGAGTGCAGAGCGGGCAAGGGAAGCCCGAGCCTCTATCAGTAGTGTTCAGGAGGTGCCTCCCACTTATTCCTGCTCTCGATTGAAGACCCAATTCCTCCTTTTAGTTCTCCTTAGATGGTGGCGTCATGTTTGGGAAACTCACCTGGACTCTGCCCTTGGCGGTGACATCTTGCTGAGTCAGACTCACTCTGTTCCCTAGAACCTAGAACTGGAGGAGCAGGGAAGAGGGTCTCTAGCTGTTTAGGAAAGAAACAGAGCCAGACGCGTGGCTAAAAACACCCCCATGCCGGGGGTGTACAGAAAAGCCCTGGTTCTGGCCTGCCATTGACCTTGTCTGTATTTTCTCAAAGATTGTTTTTCTTCTCCTCATTCCCGGGAAGGTCATTCTATGTCTAATCCAGTGCACTCAAGCTTGGCTAAGGGACTCTGCAGCACCCAGAGGGCTGGATGCCTAAAGGTTTATGTCACTCCTGGGCTGGGCTGTTCATTGTCATTGCTGTGTTGCGGGACCTCTGGAAATGGAGTCTGTTCTGCCTGAAATCAAGCCAGCCTGTGATGTTCAAGGGACTGGAATAAAGTGGCTTACAACTTGAAGGATGAGACAGAGTGATTGACTGTTCATACCCTCGTTTAGGGTGGGGAGGGGTGTTGCGGGTGCTATCATCCTACCTCGTCTATATGCCCCAGGGATGGATGGATATATATATATATATATATATATCCCATCATATGGAGTGGTTCCTAGATCAGTTAACATTGGCAGTCCAGCATGTTGATGGTTTAAAATGACTGTCTGGGACATGAGGTGTCCATGCCTAATCTGCTGCTCCAGTTGAGTCTGTGTCTGTGTGAGGGCCTAGGTGCTGATACTGGCCTCCTCCTGGGTATGGTTTCTGCCCTAGCTCAATGCTCAGCACTGGCCAGAAATTTTCTGGTTTTTGAGGTAGCTGAAGAAACAAAAGAAAAAACATTGAACAAAGAACCAGGGCTTTTGACAGGGCCGATAGGAGAGGCTGCTGAGCCTCAAGCTCTGCCCCAAAGCATCCTTGGTCTACACTTGGGCTTCCTTGCTTCCCTTCATTCATGACCTTCACTTTCTTTTCAGCTCCCCTCCTTCCTCACAACTGGAGCCGCAAACTCTAGTTCAAACATTAGGCTCAATGGAAGGAGAAACTGGGGCAACCTCCTGTTCAGTGGGAAATTAATATACTCCTCTCCCCTCGCTTCACCTCTCAGTCCAGAGAAGAGTATATAGAAAAGATGACATGGGACAGAACCCACACCCTCAAAGCCAATTCAGATCAAGTGCTTGTTTGCTTTTTGTTGCTGTCATTGGCCCTGCCTCTAGCACGGAAGGCCATCCAATGTAGGAAAAAGGGGCTGTGTCAGCTATAGTAGGTGCCTCATGGGCCAACTAGACCTCATGTAGGAGTTGAGTTGGCCTGGAACAGTGTCTTTTTCTACTTCACACAGTTTCTCCCTACGGACCAGCAATGGCCCTGATACCCACGACTACTGAGCATGAGTAACACCATGTCATTCACAGCAGTGATGGTGAGACGGTGGTTGGGAGCCTCCACCCTGATTAGGGGCCTGCAGTCCCGTACCTGTTGGAGGCCAACTTGGCCATTTCCACCAAATTTTCAAGCCGGGGGCTCCATTTTCAGGGCATTGTCCTGACACCCTAATCCAACTGGGTCCCTTCACACCTCAGTTTAGGCATGGAGGGTACACACCAGTTGAGGAATGGTCCAAGTGTTCTCTCAGTCATGGTGGAGGAGATTACGAGAACTGTCTTTGGAAGAAATGGAGATGCTTCGCACACGCCTCTCCTGTCTTTGTCAGGAGATGCTCAGCACTCCCCAGAAATTTTCTGGTTTTTGAGGTGACTGAAGAAATAAGAGAGAAAACACTGACACCTACATTTTCCAAGGCACTAGAGCATCAGTCAAGTCTACCTAACATAGAGAAATTGTTGCAAAGTGAAAAGATGTTCAGGCCAAGGGTATAAGCAATGGAATACCCATTTCAAACACGTTTCTCTACAGTTGAATGCTGGGCATGTGTCCAGGACTTAGATAGGCATGCGCCATCCCTGGTCCCAGATATCCCTGGGGTTGCAAGCAATGATCATTCTGAAGATATTCCACAGGGTGCAGTTAATGCCCTAGAGAAGCTCAGAGAGGGGCCAGGGCCTCAGGGAGGCTTATTTCATAACTTCTTTTCTCCACACTATTCCAGCAAAAGGATGGCACTCCAATAGTTCTCTAGAAGAGATTGGTGAAACTACTTCAAAATTCTGGGCAGCTCAGCTTGCTAACCCTTAATAAATGCTCGTAGCTCTGCCACCAGTATATCACACACATGTAGACAGACAGATGGACAGTCTCCCTCAAAATATACCTTTCCAATATCAGTAATCACTTTACTGCACTTCCATAGTATGTTCAGTGCTAACCCAACACAGTTCTAAGCACTATAGTCTTGGAGGTGGAGGGGGAGTAGGGATAAGAATCATTAGCAAAGACGTAGGAGACCAAGCTCGCAGATCAGCTGGTAAGTTCTGACCAACACCTTGAAAATGATTATGAAGTAGCTTACACCCAGGTGGGACGGCAGACCAGAAATCCAGCGCTTTCTTGAGTGGTGCGTGAGAGGTGTTTGCTACCCAAGGAACAAGCAGGTGACATGTGCCTTGAGTGCCCTTTCAACATCCCCTTCCTCTCTTTTGCTGCTAATGGCTGATCAGAGGCCCCCACTGTTTCCTCGGATTCCCAAGTCTCCAAAATTAACCAGCGCATCCATTTAAGTAGAGTTCAGACAAATGTAGGGAAGAAGGACCCCGGGGACAAAGGGTGTCTCATAATAAGGTGGTGAACTAGAAAACCCACTCAAGGAATGTTTACATGTAAAAGGAGAACCCCAGTGAATCTCTATTGATCTTTTTAGAAGAGATTGGCTATGGTGACCACAGAGGCGCCGGTTCAGATCTTCTGTTACGAGAACCTGCTCTTGGAAGCACAGCTGAATGACAGGCTCCAATTACAACCTTTGGAGCCACCTCCGTGTTCACTCTGAGGCCACGCTCTCCCAGGGCTGGTCCCAGTCAATGACTGTGCATGGCGGGGGTATTAGAACTGGGTCATTCTTGCCCTAAATGGGATTCTTCCTGTCTGTGAGCATCCTCAGGGACTCTCTGCTGGCCTGGCTGAGGCAGTCTGAGGCTCCTCCTGCCCAACCCAAGCTTCCTTCTTCCCTCTCTCCTTTCGCTTGGGCCAGTCTGCACGTTCTGTCTCTTCCTGCATGTTTCCCCTTTATCCTTCATGTGAATTCCCTCAATAAATCTTTTGAACATTTAATCCTACCTTGGCTTCTGCTTCTTGGAGGATCTGGACTGGCCCAGATACCATCCCCTTCTTCATTCCTACTGACCCTCAGATCCATAGGGTTCAGGCACTTGAGCTGGCAGCCTTCCCAAAGTGAGGTTCACATTTGGTGACCATTCATCACATTGTGAAAAGCTAAGGGTTTGTATGCCTTAGGACTGAGGGGATAACAGAGTCCTGACTCCCCTATTATTGTGCTGATGATGTCAGGCTGTTATCCTTGGCACATCACAGCCCCTGAGGGCAGACTGCAGCTGCCTCAAATCTGCCGCTTTGTCCCCAGCAAGGGGCACAGCACCTGGTCCACAGTAGCTGAACTGGTATAGAGCAGAAGGTCAAAGGTGGAACTGGACCCTGTGGCCCTGACAGTTGGTCATCCTGGCCTACCCGACCAGAGTCCCAGTACAGGGAGGTGGCACATAGGGTGAACAAGTTCACTGAACAGCAGGACAACGACTGCCATGCACCGAGGGAGGGACTGCCTTAGGGGAGGTGCGGAGGGCAGCGGCAGCCTCAGCAGGACCTGGGGGGAATGGCTTCAGACCCTCTACTGAGAACATCTCCCAACCTCCTCTTCCCTGCCTCCTGGACCAGCATAGAGGCTGCGGGGGATGCCACCGGGGACGAAGATAGAGAAGGCTTTCTGAAGGCAACTTTTTAGCCGCGATTTGAATGCTGCAGACATGGAGCGACAGAGAGAAGGTGAGATGTAGAACATAGAAATGCTACTTGTTTGGAACAGAGAGGCTCTCGGGAGCTAATCATGGATGATGGTTGAAGCAGAGTAGGTGGTGTTCACTGAGGAAACATCAATAAGTACTGGGATAGTGAATCAAGGTGTTCCCATTTGAGCTGACAGACGCTAGCAAGCCTGGGTACCAGGGCAAGAGATTGTTGTGACGGAACTGGAGTTTCAGCCTGTGTAGAGGCTGGTGCAGATGAACTATGGAACAGGGAAGCTCTGTGGTTATTCAAGTGGGGGTGTGTGAGCTGGGAGTGAGGGAGGTAAAAGTGCACGGACAGAACGTACTCCCTGCCCTGAGGAAACGGTCAAGAATAACCACCCTGCTGGCCTGTCATGGCCACACTGAAGGCCTCTTGGATGTCTTTAGCCCTTTTCTCACTTAACCTTGGGGTGGGACACAGCAAGGCAACCAGAAAAGGAAACACTCTCTGTGTTGAAGCTTAGTGCTCAAACATGCCCAAGGGGAGCCTAGAATCTTTCAAGCTTACACAGAGGTTTCTTTCCATTCCGGCAAAGAACCGTCACACCCACCTCGTGGAAAGTACCAGACATTGTCGTGTACTCTTACTTTATGAATATTTATTTTTTTCTTCTTAAAAATGTACAAAAAATAAAATAACTGTATTTATAGTTTATAGATTCCCCCTCTCCCATTTACAAAACTATTAAGTTACATCTGCTTTTTTTTTTTTTTTAACACGAGAGCACATTGTTCACCGGTCTCCCTTGCTTATCTTTAAGAAAGGGCTGTTCATAGAATTTGGCACAAACCCTCTGTTTCTGCTGCATTTCCACAATTTTAAATAAGAAGAAAAATAAATGTTTGATTAATTTCATGCTTCCTAAGTTTCTGGCCCGGGACGTGCCTTAGTCTTTTAGGATTCAATTCCAAGGTGACATGTGATTGCATTTTTCTGTTGGCCCCAATGTCCAAACACCTGTAAAGTCTAAGCAATTTGGAAACATATTTAAAAACACTTGTTTCACATGTCCCTTATTTTACAAGGATTTTTTTTTAAGTTTATTTATTTCAGTGTGATTAATTTAAGGGACAAAAAAAAAGAAGAGGAGGCAATTTTTCCTCTTTTTGGGGTGTTTTTGCTCAAGAAATGTTCTTCATCAAAGCTCTGATAATATACACAGTGAACGACACATCATGGCTAAGCCATGGGCACTCTGAGAATGCAGACGGGGCAGATCAGATGGGCGGTGACACTGCACCACACTTTGGTGGTACTGACCTCATATTCTTTGTTCTGGCAGTGGTCACCACAATGATTGCTGCGGGAGGAAGCGGGGGAGTGGGCTGGGACAGATGCAAAAGCATCTCTTATTCATCCTCTGCCTAGGGCAGGACCTGCAAACATTTTCTTTTCCACGGAGGCTAAAGAGAGAGGGGTAGGTAACCTGTGTCAGACTGCCAATGATCTTTTCCCTACCCTGGAGTCCTGTGCCCCAGCCCAACAGTATCTGCCGTTCTGCCTGCCAATCATGTTTGAAACCACTCCTAAAGCAGGGGGCACAGGAAGTGCATAGTATATCAGGTATTTTCAACACTGAACGTGCCACCATCTTAGAAGAGAGCTCCATTGGTATCCAGGAGGGTCCCCAGCTGCTGGTCCCGGGCATGGCAGTCACAGAGTGGAGGAGGAAGAGGGGACAGACTGAAACAGAGCTGAATCCAGGTAGCAAACCTTTGGCATCACGGGGAGGGGTAAGGTGTCTAGGAGACACACAGAAAGGTGCCCCCTCACCACCACCTAGAGGCCTTCCTAGGCACAGCACCTGCCCTCCATTTCATTCAAATCCTCTGCAGCCTCAAGGAGAAACGACTGAGCTGGAAGCAGCCCTTCCATCCTGCTCTGGGCCCCTGGGGCAGATGGGGTGGGAGGGCAGGGAGCCCTTGGAGAGCCCCCAGGTAAGACGTCAAAGTGCTTTACAAACAATCTGGGCCTTTACATAGAACCTGTCCTAGATCCCGGACCTTGGGTGGCGGATGGGTCTAACTACCAAAAAGCTAGTGTTCCACCTACAAGGGTGAAGGCAAACCCCTAGTCCCTCAAAGAGAACAGCGGTCCAGGATGGTTCATGATTATTTAGGGAAGCAGTGTTTCTCCTCTTGGTCTCCCAGGGCATGCAGCAGGAGACGGAGTTCTCCTCTGGAGGGTGGTTTCAGAAGAGCCAGAGCTCTTGGGGCACTGTCCTTCCCTCCCTCCCTCCAAATCCAGCAGGCAGGAGCAGAGATGGCAGATCCCTCCCTCTCCGGCAAGGCCCAGGAGGCAGCCCCGGCCTGGCCATTGAGAGCTGAGTTGGCAGCGCTCTCAGAACTGCAGTTGGGCCTTTACAGGGGCCACTTGAGATGAAGGACGTGCTTGTAAGCTGCGAGGCACTGCACAGTGGCCAGAATCCTCATGATAGCCAAGGAGCTCTGCAGCGGGCCCCAGCGACAGGGCCCTGATGGCAACCCCCTTGCAGTCTCTCCAGCAAGCTCAGGCAGTACCGACACCAAAGCAGAGGAGCTGGGGCCTCAGATAATCTGACCTTTCCCACCAAGAGCGCTCAGAGGGAGACTCAAGCAAAGCACATCACCGTGAAATAAGGTGGTGGCCTCCAGGGTGCGTTGTGCCCATGGAGAGGAAGTGGGGCTCCTATGGAAAGCAAGGCCTGACCCCCCAGCATGCCTACAGGAGCATCCATCTTGGCACCTGCTGAAGTCACCTGACACCGTGCAGGCCACTTCCCTAGCCCAGAGTATCTCCTGAACAGCACAGAGGCAGAAACCTCTTGTAGAAAGCAGAGTCTCCAGGTATGTGCCTCCCCTAGGCCAGCGGCAGTAAACATGCCCACGTACCCCAGATAAAATATATTATTGCAATATTATGAACACTATGTACATGATAGCCAGGCACATCTTCTGTGTCACTTACTAATTACATGGTAGTTGAATGTCCTCCTGTACAAGGCCTGGTGGCCACTCACTGGGGACCCCTGGAGGTATCTAGCAAGATGACCTTCTCCAGAGCAACCTGAAGGGTTGACCAGTAAAGGGGCATCCACCTCTTTCCGCACCTCTGACTACTGCTCCAAGAAGCAGCTCATTTTGTCCAGCCACTCAGGAGAAGTGGAGAGGTGAGGCCGACGGGATGAGACTTTCTAAGGCTACTCGAGATGAATGGATTGGCGGTGTTTCCCTTGAAGGGGTGGGTGGTGTCCTCTGGAGCCAGCAGGGACCTGCAGAGTCCTGGCGGGCCTGGCCCTGGGCTCTGGAACAGGGTGGACAATAAATAAGGGTCTGACAGGCCCAAAGGCCCTTCCCAAGGGGCTTGGGCCTCAGCTCCACCGCAGGAGCTGGTGGATGGGCCAAACACACTGACAAGGAATGGGGCATTGTGCCTTGCCCCGCTCCCGAGCGCAGTCGTGTAACAGCAGTTGTGAGATGGGTGAGGTGGGTCTGCGGGTTCTGGGGCCAGGGCCTCCGTCTGTCCCGCGGAGGAATGCACTGAGAACTCCTGCCGAGGGCAAGCCGAGACCAGGGCTCAGATTTCCATGAGCGTGATCTTGAAGCCTTCCACCATGCTCTCCATGTTGAGGATGAAGGTGTCCTCATTCGAGTAGTGCTCAATGATGTTGTCGTCCATGTTCACCAAGATGCTGCCAGGGGGTGGGTAGAAGATAAGAAACAAAAATGCCATGAACAGTGTGCTCACAGCAGGCTCCAGGCTGGGGGTTCCCTTTGCCACTCTTTTGCAAGGGAGGCCAGGAAGGGTGGAAGAGAGCAGAGACAGGCAGGGAAAGGAGACCCTCATTATGTTTTCTTTCTCTAGAAAAAAGTTTGAGGAAAGCAAAGCCTTGATTTCTCAGAATTAACCTCACGTTTACTTACTAAACATTCAGAGATCATTCAATCTAACTGTCTTGCTCTATAGATTGGTAAACTGAGGCCCAGAGATGTTAACAGAGCCTGAACTCACAGATTTAGCTATTGACAGAGCCAGGGACCTAGGCAGTTAGGTCTCTTATTTTCATTAAACAACACTGACTCTTGAAATTGCATCTTAAAAAGTATGCCGCACTTAGGAGGAAGAGGAAAATAAACAAGAATTTGCAGCTATCCTTTCTGAGCATGTAATATGGTCCAGTGTTTCAGAGACCTCGTGTTTCATCCTCACAGAAACCTGGAAGGTAGGTGTGATTGTTGCCATTTTGCAAAAGAGAAAACTGAGCTCAGTGAGGTTAAGTCATTTCCCCAAGTTCATTCAGCTTGTTCACGACTGAGCTAGGTTTTGAAACTAGATTTGCCTCTGTCTGAGGCTCACACTTGACCACCTGTGAACTACTCCTTGGTTAACTATCCCCAGCGGATTTAGCTTTAAGAAAACCAACAACATTCAGGGTCTGCCCATGATTTAACAATCTTTGAGATAATCCCATTCATTGAAGTCAAACAGATCTTAGCTTGAGAATGAAGAACTGACTCATTTTATGGCTGTGTCATCGGGCAAGTTGTTTAGACTTTCAGAGCTTCAGTTTATTCTTCTGCAAAACTAACAATAACAACCCTGCATGAAAGGCTTGTTGTTAAGATTAAAGTATTTAGCACAGGGCCCGATGCAGTGCTCAATGAAAGTGAACTGTTATCACCATTGGCACATATGTCCGCAGTGAGAGGTTCTGATCAGCAGAAGACCTTGAGACACTCAAATCTCACCATCACAGAATAAACCCAGCCCGCTGCATTGACGTTGGGAAGAACTGTAATATTCATTTTAGTGACCTTTCCAACAAAGACTCAAGTGGAAAGGGCTTCTTCCTTGACTACCAATCAACTGAAAGACTCTGTCCCTGAGAAAGCCTGAGCATCCCAGGTAATCAATTTCCTTTATGAAAGGGGCCCCGAGAAGAGTTTAAAGACCTATTTCCTGCTTTTTATAGGAAAATGGCTCCAGAAGCTGATTCAGTCGGGACACCCTCCTGGCTCTAGATCCAGCTCCTGCAGCCTCTACCCTTGGAGCCTCACACACAGGAAGCCCCAGGAGAACTAGCGGCGGCAGAGAGCAATGAGGAGCCAAGCACTTCAGCTTGGGGGCCACAGACCTGGGTTCAAATCTGTATTCCACCTACTGAACATGAGACCTTGGGCAAGAGGCTTAACCTCCATCTGGCTCAGTTTCCTCATCAGTAAATTGGGGATACAAATTGACCTCATAGAGTGGTGAGGGATAATGGAGCAATGCATGTAAAGCACATAGCAAGAGACCCAGAGCCTATGGAACACCCAATAAATGAGAGCTTTTCTTCTTAACACTGAGAACAAGCAGGTCCAATGATCATTTAGATCAGTTTATTAATAATTATCTCGGAAGAATGAATCCTTTTTGTTCCTTCTGTTCCACCCTGAAACCAACCCCAAGAGCAGCATGGGATTCCTTACAAACGCCACTCTCTACACAAGGGTGACTTTGCCATTCTCCCCACTTCTCCACCCCTCCATCCCACCCCCTAATCCTATCACTGGGATAGGGCATCTCAGCTGGCATCATGATGATGCACGATCACCCTCCCTCTCTCTCTCATTAAAGGTCTTCAAAATGCATTGCACTTGCAAGCTGCTTAGTTGGAAGGATGACACACGATTTTTCTAAAAGGTGGACAACAGAGCTAACAAAAAGAGGCATCACTTTTTTTTTTTTTAATGTTGACTTATCTGATTTGGAAGTCAATTTAAGTTCAGTTTCTTTCTTACCCTTTTTTGCTTTTCTTGTAAAGCTTTGCTATCTTCTCCACAGGCAGCCCGTATTTCTCAGATATCTGTAACACCAACAATTAAAAGGCAGATGAGCACAGAAGGAAACCCAAGCAGAGGCAAGAGAAGAGGTTCCAACTTCACTCTCTTGGAGATTTTCCTGAGAGCCAGTGCCCTTCACTCATGAGTCAAACTCAAAATGTCTCATTTGCAAGGCTCTCCCTTTGGACAAACCTTAAATCATTCAACAGTAGATTCAGCCACATGGGAATTTCATCGATGATGAAGGTGTCATTTTAGATCAGTCAGGAAAAGAGGGACTCCAATCATGATATTGGATTAAACAGGTAGCCATACAGAAAAAATTTAACAAGTTAAGCTAGATCCCTTCTCCATTCCTTAAACCAAAATAAATCAGATCAAAGATTTACATGTGAATGATAAAACCATTTAAGAAGAAACAATGAGTCAATTCTTTGTATAGATATCATCTTCAAGTAAGGAAGAGCTTTCCAAGCAAGATATGAAACCTGAAGAAAAAAAGGTCAAAATATTGATACATTGATAAAACAAGAGATTAAAAAAAAAAAAACAGGATAGCAAAAACCAGCATAAACAGCTGAGGACAAATAATACACTGGGAAACATTTTTGCAACACAAATGACAGACATGGAACTAACTTCCTAAAGTTAGAAAGAGCCCCTGCAAATAGTAATAATAATAATAATAATAATAATTTCAATGAGAAAATGAAAAAAACAACATGAAGAATACACAGGAAAAATAAAATAGGGCAATAAGCATATGAAAAAATGCACTATTTCACATATAATTTAAAAGTACAAATTAAAGCAACAGGATACTATTTTTAATCTATCAGATTAACAAAAGCTAAAAAATTGATAATACAGTGTCACCCAGAGTACGAGAAACAACTCTCATATTCCATAGCTGAGAAAGCAATAAGCTCAATCTCTTTGGAGGGAAGTTTGGCAGAAGCTACTGAAATTTAAAATGCATATATCCTTTGACCCATATACTCCACATCTAGTTATCTGTTCTACAGAAATACACTCAGATGTATGCAAAGCTCTTCAAAGCATCACTGTTCATAATACAGAAACTGTGTAAAAAAATAAGCACATCTTGATATCTTCACAGTTGAAAACCATGCAGTCGTTCAGTCATTAAAAGAAATGTGGGAAGCCTACATGACAAAAAAAATGTTCTTAACATACTAAGTGGAAAAAAACAAGTTGCAAAACAGCATATGTGTGTGTGTGTGTGTGTGTGTAAATGTGATCCCATTTGTATTTTTTAAAAAAATATGTAAATAAATTGAAAATATATCAAGGACCCACCAATCTACTAACAGTAGCTACCTTGGAAGGAAGGACAGAAATAAAAAGATTCTTTTACATGCTTTTTACTTTGTTCAATCCTGTACTGTTTATTTTATTTTCACAATGACCATGATTCACTTTTATAAGTGTAAAGTAATAATATTTTAGAGATAGAATCTGGCGTGATTTACCCTAAGTGCCTTTCATGCCTTCCCCCTCCCAAATGCATTCCGCTGGCCTCGTCTGAGCCCAGTGGCTGATGGGGCTCACTAACAGCTAGAACAGGGGAGCTTTGGGCTTGGGGACTACTGGGCAGTCTAGCAGGGGCTGAGAAAAGAGGATGCAGAGCCCTACAGCCAATGAAGGAGAGCTTTGGATCCTGGCAAGAGCTTCCTCTACAGATAATCATAAATTCCACCCATCTCTCCGTCCCACTACACAGGAAGGACTCCTCACCCCCTAATAAGCCCAGAAGGAGCAGAAGAGCTGAGAGAGCAAAAAGGAGAATGGGGAGCAAGCAGCCTGCCTGCCCTCAGTACTGTTCCATCACTGATGGGACGGCCCATAACCATTCCTGAGCTGAAATAAACCCAGTATGTAAAGTAACACATCCAAAGCGGGTCTGTGTACAGAACTCATGCTGGAGGCATCCACTTCGGCAGAGCATCAAGGAGCACATACGAAGATCATAAAAGAGCCCTTGTGAAGATTGCTGTACAGCACATATGTACAAAATTCTGATCTAAAAATGCCATTATTGAATGAAAAAAATTTAAAGTTCAGTAAATGAACCGAAAGGTACATGGTCAATATAGCAAACCAGTAAGTGTTAGGAAAGATCAATTAGAAAAACAATTTCCAAGTGCAGAGCAAAAACACATAGCTAGATGAAGATCACGAAGAAAAAGAGATTTGAAGAATAGAGGCAGGGTATACAAGATGTGAGCATCCAAAATCCCGGACAGAGAAAAAGGAAAGGTGAAGAAGAGGAAATCATTAAACAAATAATAGAAGAATGACCATTTTTTGGGTAGGAGGGGAGTATTCTGAATCCCGAGAGATCAATGAGAAAAGGCTCGTACATCTGGCCCTTCTGAAAAGTGCCAGATCTCCAAGGGTAACAAAAACATTCTGGAACCTCCCAGACAGAAAGAAGAAGAAGAAGAAGAAAGAGAAGGAGGAGGAGAAGAAGGAGGAGGAGGAGGAGGAGGAGGAGGGGGGGAGAAGGAGAAAGAGAAGAACAAACCTGGCTTCAGTCTTCTCATCTGCAACACTATAAACCAAAGGATAGTGGAATAACCCCTACAGACTACT